TCTTCTTCTTCGTGGTCTTCTTCTTCTTCTTCTTCTTCTTCTTCTTCTTCTTCTTCTTCTTCTTCTTCTTCTTCTTCTTCTTCTTCGTGGTCTTCTTCTTCTTCTTCTTCTTCTTCTTCTTCTTCTTCTTCTTCTCCTCCCCCTCCCCCTCCTCCTCCTCTTCTTCTCCCTGTTCCTTGTCCTCCTCTTCCTCTTCTTCTTCTTCCTCATCCTCATTCGGTCTTCACTCTCCTCTACTCTCTTCTTCTTTTCCACCTTATGAAGCCATATGCTCTTCGTCTTTTTCTACCTCTCCTTCCAGCCCTCACTCTCCCCATCGCCTGCTCCCGTTGCGAAAGAACTTTCGCAGGTTGGTGCACTAGTGTTAGGCCGGTAGGTTGCCACCTACTGCCTAGTCCTTGGCTCATCTCGGGCATTGTCAACATGCTTGCCAGTCTCATTGGCAGGCCGTGTGCTGGCAGAGAGGTACTTTATCAGTCTTTCGCCCCCCCACAAGGGTTCAAGCGGAGAAGACTGCGAAGCAGAGCCGAGAATGGATGCTAATTGTGATTACTTTGTTGGTTAAATTCCTTTGCCGCAGCGGAATTCGTTGAACTAGCAGTGGAGATGCTGGACCGCGTTTTGGAAAAGTGTCGTACAGCGTATAATGATGCGGTGATGGGTAGCTTGAGCAGGGGTCTCGTCGTCAAGCCAGAGCTTGAGAACCTGATGATGAAGGAGGATGCATATGCAGTGATCGATGCCGGATCAGATGGTGCACTTGACGAAGAGGGGGAAAAGGAGGTGAAAGCGGCAGAAATAGACATACTAAACCTTTTCCAGTCCATGCGGCCTATCAAGGGTGAACAGCTCATCAGTGATCCGCAGAGGGTGGTATTGATCGCTGCACTGAGCGATACGCTAGAGTACCTTGCAGATACGATTGACAGCCTTGTTTTTGGAGGAGTGACAGCGACCAATGGTGGTGGAGGAGGAGGTGGTCCCGGGGTGTCGGGAGCACCCCCATTGAGAAGAAGGGGAGCATTCTTTGGGGCTGCTGGGATGGGCGCTACTGTTTCTCGTGACGGGCATCTTACTCCTCAGCAAGCAGTGGTGCAACAAGCCTTGGTGCTGACCATAGCCACCGGGCAGGGCCAGGTAATGAGCGGGCAGATGGAACCGATGCCAAAGCAGCGCCCGAAGCAAATGAAACGCTCGACGAGTATGAGCGGGCCAGTGACAGCAGTTGCTGCGCTTTCTATGTTAGCCTCCGACTGCCGCGCTGTTTCGGTTGAGTGCCTGCGGCTCTTGCGCATCGAAATGCAGCTGCATTGTGTGTACCACATCGGCACAATGTGGGAGCACGGTTTCATGCGCGACAGTTCTGTGGAGGAACCAGAGGACTACGCCGTTGCCCTGACTGGACTGATGACCCACCTGGATGAAGAAATCAGGCCACATCTGCCCATCTTGAAATGCGGGTACATTTTCGGCAGCGTTCACAAGCTCGCATCCTGCATGATGATCCGATGCCTTGGCGACATGAAGGCAATCAACTTGTTTGGCGTACGGCAAGTGACACGCAACTGTATCGCCCTTCAGCAGGCGTTATCGACACTGGGGGGAATGTGTAGCCTGCAAGCGGTGGAAAATTATGGTGCCTCTTCGGGTATCGGAAGGGGCATTGCTACGTCTGAGGAGGTGCAGGGGTGGTTCGACCATGTCCGCACATATTACGAGTTGCTCAATCTGCCCGCAGAAGCCCTGTTTGCATTCATTGAGGAGCATCCAGATCTGTACTCCGTCGCCGAGTAAGTGCTTTTATTTAAGCCCCAGGGAAACCGGTTTCGCTAAATGGCCAAAGCAGCTTCCTTCTCTGAATGCCCTCCACCTTGTGCTTCTTTTAATGTCCCTTGTGAAGATGTACCTGCATGCTGCAGACAGCTAGGTGCATGATCTGCATGGTTGTAGTGCAAGCATCCAGATACACTGTGACACGTTCAGCGATGTTATTCAACTTTTACAATTTGTGGCTTTGCCATGGTCATTTTTCAAAATCAGCTGTAAGCCGCCCATAATATCCTTTTCGAAGTTTTCGTTCCTTTTTGCCAGCCTGCAAAGAAGCTCAATTCATAAATAAGTTAAAATAACTTCAAAGTTCAAATTAGACATCTGTTAAAATTGGAATGATACAGTTCTCCAGAATGGACGTGGAGTCAGGGCCACAAGGACCTGTTTATCAAAAAAAAAGAAAAAAGGGAACGAGACAGAGAAGATTCGCATGGCCCCTGCGCAAGTGGGACGTGCAAATCTTGAAGTAATCCAAATTGGGAAGGGAAAAAAAAGACATGTCACGGGAATCAGCAGCAGGGAAACTATTAGGCCAATCAAGGTTTTACATGCAAACACCGTAATGCAATCAGACTTGTCTTCAGCTTCACTTTCAACATGCAGGCATACAGATGCCGATGGCTGACAAACTCTCACCAGGCAGAATTAGCAGCAAGAGCGAGGTGGCGCACAGCGCTCACACAGAAAACTCAGATATACGGCCCTTGGCCAGAAACTCAGTACAAGTCAACTTGTCGCAGCTTGCGGCTATGACGTCTGGGCGCCTGTCTTAACTCCGCCCGTAACACTGTAATCACCATCCGCCACACTCTTACTCATGCACGCATGCACTAGGATCTACCCTGAATGCTCACACACACACACACACACACACACACACACACACACACACACACACACACACTGTTGTCGTCAACAAGCTGGCATCTATGGCCGCCGCCGTCTTCCTCCTCTCGGCACTGGCGGCTATGGACGCCGACATCCTCCTCTGCCCTCTTCGTCTTCGGGCACCTGCACACCTCCTTGCACAAGTTTCACCAGCAGCGCTTCCGCATGGCTCGCAGGCGAATGAATGAATGGCTGAGCGATGCCTCTTTATTTCAAGAACTATCTGCTGCATTCATATTTAGAATTTCGTAAGTAATTGTTGTGGTCATTCTCTGTCATTTTGCCGTCACAACTCTCTGACATTTGAGCATCATGGTGATTCTCTGTCATTCTGTTATTAACGACATTACTTGCGTGGGAATTGGGGTTGCAGGTATTCAACCTTGCTGTCCGTCCAGGTTCCTGGAAGAGATGTGCCAGACGATGCTCTCATGGGAGTTGCACAACTCTGCTCCCCTCACTCTTGAGGGCCTGTGGAGTGAAGATACTATAGGTGGTCAGTATTTTATGCCTGTGTGCACTTTTCTGAGGGGAGAAGAGTGTTACAGGGATCGGGGGGGAATGGCCACAAGGAATTGTGGGGTAAGGGGGTTGAGGAAAGGAGGAGGGGGGGGGGGGGGGGGGGGGGGGGGGGTGTTGAGACCAAGGTTAGTTTGGAGGGCCGGGTGGGTGGCTGGGTGTCTAAAGCTGCATTGCACGGCACATATTGAAGTAGATGGGTAGGTTAGGGGGCATGGAGGGGATGGAGGGGAAGATGATAGTAATGTGGTATGAGGGGCGAGGAGGAAAGCGACTGCGTGTCGAATATCGAGTGAGGCACAAAGGTAGAGGTGGAGGTGGTGGTGGTCCAAGTTTCAGAGCGGCATGTGGCTGGGTGTCTAGAGCTGCGGTGCACGGCACATACTGAAGTAGGTAGCTCGGTAGGTAGGTTAGTAGGCATGGAATAGGTGGAGGGGATGGCGATAGAGATGTGTGGTGTCACTGGTATGAGGGGCGAAGTGGAAAGTGACTGCGTCACTGCGTGCACTGCGTGGCGAATATCAAGTGAAGCACAAAGGTAGAGGCGGAGGAGCAAGGGAGAAGAGAGGAGGACAGATGGGTCGATGGATGGAACTAAGGCGTACTTGAAGAGGAGGACAGGTGGGTGGATGAATGAGACTGACGCCTACTTGCACGTTGAACGCACAGCATGGTAGAAGAGAGAACACTCGGCGGATGGAGAAGAGAGGAGGACCGATGGGTGGATGGATGGAAACTTGGAAAGCGAGGGATTGGTGAATATCGATTGACGCACAAAGGTAGAGGTGGAGGACCAATGGAGAAGAGAGGAGGACAGATGGGTGGATGGATTCGAGTGATGATAAAGGTAGAGGCGGAGAAGCGATGGAGAAGAGAGGTGGACAGATGGGTGGATGGATGGGACTCAGGCCTACGTGGAGGTAGAGCGCACAGCATGGAAGAAAAGAGAACAGTTGAAGGCTACAACGTTTATGGATGGGGCGAGGTCTGAGAAAAGCGTACGAAAGACAGGTGCGCAAACATTTGTGCGGGTGATGCATGGACGTATGATGGGTAGATATGCTGGATGGATGCGCCGGTGGGTGTTCAATTTGCAGTGATGTGTTTCTTTGGAGTATTGTCCTCATTCCTTGGATCGATGTTACATGATTGAAAGGGAGAAAAATTTAAAGGTAGGTGGGTGTGTCTGATTGGTGGTTCGATGTACATGGGTCAAGAATTTGCGTGAAATTCCATGCATCCCCGAGGACGGGATCTGTGCTATTCCTTGCTATATATGTGGAAGAGAGAGAAGCTTAGATCAGCCATGAAGAGGTGGGAAGAGAGATTTCAAGAGAGATTTTTCTCGCATGGACTGTGGGAGAGCTGGGGGGAGAAGGAGGAGGGGGGGAAGGAGGGGGGGTTCATTCCTTGCGATGATTCTATTACCAGTTGTTGTTCTGTTTAATGGCGCAAGCAGGGTCTATCGGGACTCATTCTTTTACGCTTTTTAGTAATTTTTTACTGATTTTTGTAGTCATTCTGTCTTTATTTCTTTTTGTGCGGACTTCTGATAAATTATGGAAAATCAGCGGTGACATGTTTTCCGTTTGCTGGCTTTGGCTTTGGAGTGCCCTCCTCACCGCTGCTTTTTTTTGTTTCTTTTTTTTGCCTCTTTTCCCAAATTCCCCTCCCTTTGATTTGCAATTCTTTGAGTAAGTGTGGAACCGGACTGACGCTCCCGACAATGAACAAGGAGCCTCGGACCGGTGTCTAAATACAGCCAGAAAGACTGGCCAGTCTATTCTGGGTGACGACGGTAGTCAGTAAGATGTAACATGTCTTTAATGATGCATCATACGTCTGGTGTTTGATTGTCTCTCAGCTTTCCATCTTGCTGAAGTGCATCTTCGTGAGCATTTGTTTCTTTGACCCTCGCCCTGCCACTCACCCGATAGATTGCTTGATTGATTGACTGAGATTGATTGCTCGATTGCTCGGTTGGTTGATTGATTGATTGATTGATTGATGGATGGATGGATGGATGGATGGATGGATGCGGTATTATATGGATGGGGCGGGAAGAGTCCTGAATGGGTTACATAGTGGCGCCGCCATTGTCTGCAGGAGGGGTTTGGAAACGTGAAGTCGAACTGCTTGACATCAGCCTGGGACCGGGCAGGTACTGCTACGACGACAGTCCAACGTGCGTGTGTGTGTGTGTGTGTGTGTGTGTGTGTGTGTGTGTGTGTGTGCGTGCATGCATTCGCACGTGTGTGTGTGTGTGTGTGTGTGTGTGTGTGTGCATCCGCATTCCTGGTCATGAAAGGAGCTCGTAGCCAGAAAGGAGCTCGTAGCCAGGCATGACCATGGAACGAATGCACATGATGTCAAGCTTTGAATAGTCATGAAGCAAAAAAGAAGCATAAGGCAAAAAACAAGCCAAATGGCAGCAAGGCAGAGGTCTGGAAGCAACAAGGCATTGGATGGGAAGCAGTTGCAAGGAATACAGGCGGGAGGGGGGGATGGGGGGGGGGGGGGGGCAGACAAACGGCACTAGCAACAAGCCAAGGAGCAGCGAGGCAAAGAAAGAAAAGAATGGGCAAGTACCAAAAAACACTGAAAAAAAAATAAAAAAAAACTGATGGTAGATTGCTTCGACGGGGTTGCACCAACTCATCAGGATGCTGAACCCTCGACAATCTGCAGAGTCCGCATATTGATGCTTTGGGTCATGAACCCTCCGACCCTTGTTGCAAGCAGACTGCCAGGAAGCAATACCGCAATCGGAACATAGCAGAAGGCGACGACTCAACGAAGCACCATGCAATGCTCTGCCGGGGTGGGGCAACCCGCACAATGCCGAAGCTAACTGCATGGAACGAAAGTGCCAGCGGACCGGCAGCATGGAACGGAAGTGCAAGCGGGCCGGCAGCAAGGCAACAACACAACAAGACACAGAGCAGCGCTTCCAAGGCGCCACACTGTACGGTGCACCAGCAAAACGCACGGGAAGGCACACAGACGACGGGGAGTAGGCAACCGTGCAGCGATTTGGACTCTGGAGTGCCTGCAGGATTTTAAGGAGGGGGCGCTCTGTCTGTGATGTCTGTGGTGCATAGGGTTTATGGGTGGTGATAGATGACCTGGAGTGCCTTCCTAGCTCAGCAGTTGGTGGGAATCAACAGTCTGCGGGGTTCTTCTTGTGGTCTTGAATGGCTTTGCTCCGTGTTGGATGTGTGGACTGCCTTGTTTATGTGTCGCGGCTGCCTTGCTGCCCATCCCGCTCGCTCGTCATGTGGTTCATTGCAGCTGGTGTGTTGCTGTGTAGCTTGGCTGCGCACTTCCTAAATGCGCTCAATCCAACGCACAAAGTACTTCTAAAAAAAAATTCCAGAAAGAGGAAATGCATACATATGTGAAAATGATTGTGTGTGTGTGTGTGTGTGTGTGTCCCGCATAACATGACACGGAAACCGCATCATAATCAAGATCCGAAATAATATATCGGTGCACCTTAAGAATGAAAACTTGTAGGCGTGGTGCAGACACATCCGGTACTCGGAGGTGGGGAATGACTATGCCGGACTACATGAGCAAGCTCAGGACACAAGAACCTGTAGGTGTGGTGCAGACGGAACCTATACTGTAAAGCGGGGAATGACTATGCCGGACTTCACGAGGATTCATGCTCCCACTGCTCTTTGCGGGCGAACTGGAACACACACGATCAACAAACACCACAGGATGGGGAAAGGAAGCACAATAAGGCTAAAGGCAAGGAGGCAACGACAGCAAACTGCAGAAAGACACAAGGGCTGAGGGGCATGGGGGAAGTGGGAGGGCAGACCATACATCAATGCACAAAACAAGGAAAGACAAGAAAGTGCAAGTACAGAAAGATACCCCCAAGCATAAGACAACAGGCAGCCGCAAAGGACAATGGGTGGAGGGCACGGGGGAGGCGGGAGGGCAGACGTCACTCAAACACAGAAAGCAGGCAAAGCAAAAAAAATATATACAAGTCCCCCAAAACAGCGAAGACCGAAAAAAATAAAAAAAAATAAAAACCGATGATGACAAGATTGTTTCGTCAGAGTTGCACCGACTCGTCAGGAGGCTCAACCCTTGACAATCTGCGGGATCTCCGTATTTGATGGTTTGGGTCATGAACCCTTTGATCCTTGTTGAGGGCAGACTGTCCCCAAGCGGAACATAGCAGCGGGCAACAACCCTGTGGAGCACCAGGCAACACAGTAGAGGCAACACGGCTGCACAACGCCAAAAACGACTGCAAGATACGACATGGCACCCAGGACAAGCAGCGCAGGCAACACAGGAGAGGCAACACGGCTGCACAACGCCAAAAACGACTGCAAGGAACGCCAGGGCAGACTGTCCCCAAGCGGAACATAGCAGCGGGCAGCAACCCTGTGGAGCACCAGGCAACACAGTAGAGGCAACACGGCTGCACAACGCCAAGAACGACTGCAAGGAACGACATGGCACGCAGGACAAGCAGCGCAGCAACCGTGTAGTGAAGCACAAGGCAACACAAGCAAGGCAACCATACTGCAGGGGACGACAGGGCGAGCATACGAGCAACTCGGCAACCGTGGAGCGAAGCACAAGGCACCCGCAACAAGGCAACGAACCAACAAGGCCCACAAGCAGCGAACACGGAGGGCATGGCCAGCGGAAGGGCAGCAAGGCGGCGGAGCAGCGAAGCGCAAGGCAAAACCAACCACACGGCCACATCACACAGTGAACACATCAACTTGCAAAGAACCACATGCGAAGCAAGAGGAACAGGCAGCAGGGCAGCGGCGGAGCGCAGACGAGGCCGTCCACGCATCCAACACGGAGCAAAGAAGCACAGGACCTACTCACATCACGATTGAACCCCGCAGACTGCTGGTTCCCACCACCCACTGAGCCAGGGAGACACTCCGACGAGCATCCGTCATCACCCATAGGCAACACAGACATCCCGAACCGAGCAGCCCCCCTAAGAGTGCAGTTGCCACTCCAAACTAGGAACCACCGACTGTTTGGCACTACTTAAGAGTGCTCAGTTGGGCACACAAAGCAAATACTTAGAAAAAATCAGAGGGAGGACCGACAACAGGAAAAAGACTGACAGACATAAAACTGATTGTGTGTGTGTGTGTGTGTGTGTGTGTGTGTGT